TGTTTCAAGTACTTTGGTAAAAATCTTAGGTATTTTACACTACTTCCTTAGAAAGTTTGGTATATTGAGGAAAATCAGTACTTCTTTGATAGATCAAGGTTTTGTGATGAATCAGGATCACTCAATTATAATTCTCTGATTCCAACATGAATTAAAAATGTTTAAATACTAAACCATTATGCTGTATAATTTTTTATTGAAAGTAGATTTTAGGAGAAGGAAAAATCAGAACAACAAAAACTTAAAAGCAGCCAGATTTCTGCCTGCCAGGATCTCCGGAAAAGCTAATCTGGTGGGTATTGATAAAAGCAGATGATTAGAATAAAGTTTTTGCACTATCAGTGTGAGTCATTTGTGAATGTGTGTAGCCTCTCCAAATACCACCATCTCCACTCACCTGTCAAAAACTACAGAAGATGAGGCCAGGTGTGGTGGCTCATCCCTTTAATCTTCTGGGAGGCTGAGGCAGGAGGATCTGTTGAGCTCAGGAGTTTGAGGTTGCTATGAGCTAGGCAGATGTCACAGAACTCTATCCAGGGCAATAGAGTGAGACTCTAGTAGAAGGGGAGGCTGGCTAGACCAAAGACTAGAGCTGCTGCCAAATCTTGGCCCAGCAGGTGTACCAGGAAGAGCAGGTGTACTAGGCCCTGAGAAGGAAGCCCAACCAATGTGGATTCTAGAGGCCAGTTCTCCTCCCCACAACACTCCCACACCACGCCTGCAATGCCAGCTTCCATGGAGAGGGATTAAACTAGCCCCCCAAAAGAGCTTAACAACAGCAACCTGGGAAACAGACCACCACTCTGCACAAAGATCATTCACCATAGAATTGGACTGTGACAATCACAGGGGAATGGGACAACACAGATTAACTGTATTACAGACAATGTGCACCTGCCTCACCTTGCTTGGTTAATCTTCCAGAGTAGGACACAAAAACCTAATCTAGGGACCTCTCCTTTTCATTAAGTAAGTGAATTTTCAGCAAAGGAGAACAGGTGTACTGCAAACATGTACTGCAAACTTCCTTGAGCTGACAGAAGAGATTTCAAGTGAGAAGAAACCAACAAAATAACTGGCAACATGAAAAACAAGCTAATTTGACATTTTCAAATGATCACTTTGGACCCCAACCCAAAGGAAATTGTTGAAATGTCAGAAATGGAATTTAGAACATGGATGGCAAATAAGATGAGTGGGATTGAAGAAAAGTTTAAAACCAACACAGAGAAGGAAAAAAGTTTTAGGACATCAATTAAAAAAATGAAAATGTCAATAAAGAGCCAGAGAACATAAGAAGGAATGTAACATATAACACAACTTAAAGAAATTAAAGTCATTCAGAAAATTACAAATTACAGCTGAAAGCTTCAGCAATGGACTAGACCAACCAGAAGAAAGAATTTCAGAGTTTGAAGACAAGCATCTCAAACTAACTCAGTCAAAAATGCAGAAAAAGAATAAAGAATAATGAACAATTACTTGGAGAAATATAAGACTATGTAAAGCAATCCAATATACAAAGTCTGGGTTTACCTAAAGGAGGAGAAGAAAAAGCAAAAAGTAAAGAAAACCTATTTGATGGAATTATTATATTGGAAACTACCCTGGTATCATCAGATATTAAAATATTCAGATATGAGATAGTCATTGAACACTGGGCAGACATCACTATGACACATACTCATCAACTTGGACAAAATCAGAATAAAGGGGAAAATTCCACAAGGAGTACGAAGAAAGCAACAACTAACCTAAAGAGGAAAACTCATCAGTTCTAGCAGCAAACTTCTCAGCAGAGACTTTAAAAGCCAGAGGGATTGGGACCCCATTTTTACTTTTTTAAAATGAAAGGACTTCCAACCAAGAATTTTGTATCCTGAAAAACTAAGTTTCATAAATGATGGAGAAATAAAGACTTTTCCAGACAAGCAAACACTAAGGGAATTTGTTACTATTAGATCTGCCCTGCGGTCTCAGAATTGTATCATACATGACAGACAGCATGACGGATATCCACCAGTATAAACATATCTGAAAGTTAAAGTCCATAGCTCATATAAAGCAATAACACAAGAGGAAAAGCAAAACAATAATGTGCCATTCAACATGATGAACAGAATAGTATTCCACATAATACTAGCTCACATTGTATGTGAATGGTCTTGATGCCACACAAAAGGCTAGTCTGGCCAAATGGATAAAAAGACACAACCCAAATATATGCTGTCTCTAAGATACATCAAACTCACAAGGACTAAACAGAAACTTAAGGTAAAGGGATGGAAAAAAATATATTCCATGTAAATGGAAAACAAAAGTGAGCAGGTGTAGCAATTCTTATATCAATAAAATAGACTTTAAATTAACAATGGTAAAAACAAAGATGGTAATTATATAATGGATAAAGGAGAAATTCAACAAGATATGTAATAATCCTAAGTATATATGCACTTAATAGAGGAACTCCTAGATTCATTTAAAAAATTCTACAAGATCTAAAAAGAAATTTAACAGTAGCATACTAATTCTGATGACTTCAATATCCCATTGACAGAGCTAGACAGATCAATGGAGCAGAAATCAATAAAGAAACATTGGATTTAAATGGGACTCTAGAGCAACAGGAATCTCAAAGACATTTACAAAATATTCTACCCCCAAACACTGAATTCTTCTCATCAGCACATGGAGCAGTCCCCAAGATTGATCATATCATAGGCCACAAAACAAGTTTCATAAAATTAAAAAAATTGAAATCATACCGTGTATCTCTTCAAATCATAGCAGAATAAAAACTAAAAATCAATTCCAAGAGAAACACTTAATTCTACACAAAGTCATGGCAACTACACAACCTGCTGTCAAACAATCCTAAAGTCAATGATAAAGTTAGGATGGAAATCAAAAGATTCCTCAACTGAACAATGAAAAGGACACAAGCTATCAAAATCTATGGGATACCGCAAAAGCAGCCCTTAGGGGAAAGTACATAACCTCAAACACCTGCATCACAAAGAAAGCTCACAAAGTAAGAACCTAACATACCACTCAAGGAACTAGAAAAATAAGACCAAACCAAACCCCAAGTCAGCAAAAGAAAAGAAATTGCAAAACTCAGAGAAGAACTAAATAAAATAGAAACAACAATACAAAAATACAAAAGATCCATGAAACAAAATGCTAGTTCTTTTAAAAGTTAAACAAAATCAATAGACCACTAGCCAGATTAACCAGAAACAGGTTAATGAAGAGAATGTCAGAAATGGAAAAGGAGACAATATAGAAGTAAAAAATATGATGCACAAATACTACACAAACCTCTATACATGCAAATTAGAAAATGTAGAGGAAATGGATGAATTCCTGGAATCACATGATCTTTCAACCCTAAATCAGGAAGCAATAGAAATCCTGAACAGGCTGGATGTGGTGGCTCATACCTGTAATCCTAGCACTCTGGGAGGCCAGGGCAGGTGGATTGCTTGAGCTCAGGAGTTTGAGACCAGCCTAAGCAATAGTTGAGACCCTGTCTCTAAAAATAGCTGGGCATTGTGGTGGGTGCCTGAGTCCTAGCTACTCAGGAGGTTGAGGCAGGAGGACTGTTTGAGTCCAAGAGTTTTTTTTTTTTAAACAAAGAGAGTTGCTTTTTATTTGTTTTTGCAGTTTTTGGCCAGGGCCGGATTTGAACCCACCACCTCTGGTATATGGGGCTGGAGCCCTACTCCTTGAGCCACAGGCATCACCTGAGTCCAAGAGTTTGAGGTTACTGTGAACTATGACACCACCATAGCACTCTACTAAGGGTGACAAAGTAAGACTCTGTTTCAAAAAAAAAAGAAAGAAAGAAAAGAAAAGAAAGAAGAAAGAAAAGAAAAAAAAGAAAGAAATCCTTTACAGACTAATAACAAGCAGTGAGATTGAAGCAGTGCTAAAAAATCCCCCCCACCCCCAAGAAAGTCCACATCATATCAGATCCAGATGGGTTCTACCTACAAAGAACTGGTGTCTATCCTACAGAAATTATTCCATTACATCTAGAAGGAGGAAATCCTACCTAACTCATTCTATGAAGCTGGTATAACCTTGGTTTCAAAGCCAGGAAAGGACATAACAAAATCAGAAAACTACAGACCAATATCCCTTATGAACATAGATACAAAGGTCCTCAGCAAAATACTATCAAAGAAAATTCAATAGCACATCAAGAAGATAATTCACCATAGTCAAGTGAGTTTCATCCCAGGGATGTAAGGATGGTTAAACATATGCAGATCAATGAATGTGGTTCACCATGTAAACAGAAGTAAAAACAAAGACCATATGGTCATCTCAATAGCTGCAGAAAAAATTATTCAATAAAATTCAGCACTCTTCCATGATAAAAAAAAAAAAAACAACAAAGTAGGCATAGAAGGAACATACCTCAAAATTATAAAAGCTACATATTGCAAACCTACAACAAACATCATAATTAATGTGAAGAAATTGAAAGCATTCCCCCTAAGAACTGGAACAAGACAAGGGTGTCCACTATCATCACTTTTATTCAACAAAGTACTGGAAGATCTAGCTAGAGCAATCAGGCAAGGGAAGAAATAAAGGGTATTCAAATAAGAAAGAAGAGGACAAATGATGCTGGCTTGTGGGCAATATGATTTTGTATCTAGAAATCCCTGAAGGCTGTACCAAAAGACTTCTAGAATTGATCAATGAATTCATCCACGTCTCAGGTTACAAAATCAGTGTATGCAAATAATTATACATTTCTATACTTATAATAGTCAAGCTGAGAGTCAAATCAAGGATGCAATACCATTCATAATAGCTACAAAAAAATAAAATACCAAGGTATATTCTTAACCAAGGAGATGAAAGTCTCCACAAGGAGAACCATAAACCACTACTGAAAGAAACTGCAGATAACACAGATGAATTGAAAAACATCCATTGGTCATGGATTAATAGAATCAACATTCTTAAAATGTACATACTGCCCAAAGTGATTTACAGATTCAGTGCAATTCCCATAAAATACCAATGTCATATTTTGCAGAAAAAAATCCTAAGCTTTATTTGAAACCAAAAAAGAACTCAAATAGCCGAAGAAATCTTAAGCAAAAAGAACAATTCTAGAGACATCAAATTACCTGACTTCAAATTATACCATAGTAACCAAAACATCATGATACTGGTATAAAAGTAGAGCCACAGGCTAATGGAACAGAATGGAGAACCCAGAAGTAAAACCATCTACGTATAACCAACCTGATGATCTTTGACAAAGTAGACAACATACACTGGAGAGAGGAAGTCCTACTCAATAAATAACACTGGGAAAACTGGATAGCCACATGCATAAGAATGAAACATAGCTCATACTTCTCACCATATACAAAAATTAATTCAAGATTGATAAAAGACTTAAATGTAAGGCATAAACCCATACAAATTCTAGAAGAGAATATAAGAAAAACTCTTCTGGACATTGTCCTAAGCAAAGTATTTATGACAAAGACCCCAGAGGCAATTATAGCAACAACAGATTAAATTGAAAAAACTATACAGCTAAGGAAAGAGTCAACAGAACAATAGACAACCTACAGAATGGGTGAAAATATTTGCAAACTATACATGTGATAGAATGGGTCAGAATCTACAAAGAAAAAAGTGGGCAAAAGGCATGACAGCAGTTTTTCAAAAGAAAATAAGTGGTCTATAAATATACAAAAAAATGTTCAACATCACTAATCATCAGGGAAATGCAAATTAAAACCACAATGAGATGCTAATTTACCCCTGTCAGAATGGCCACCATTAAAAAGTTAAGGATGCAGAGAGAAAGGAATGATTACACACTCTTGGTGGGACTGCAAATTAGTATAACCTTAGAGAAAACAGTATGGAGATTTCTCAGAGAACTAGAGGTAAACTTACTATTTGATCCAACAATCCAACTACTAGGTATCTACCCAAAGGAAAATAAGATATTTCATCAAAAAAAAAAAAAAAAACTCCTGCACTTGAATGTTTATCACACCACAATTCACAATAGTAAAGATTCATGAGTGGATTAAGAAACCATGGCATGTATGTACCATGGAGTACTATTCAGCCATGGAAAGGAATTAAATAATGTCTTTTGCCACAATATGGATGGGACTGGAGACCATTATCTTAGCTAAGTATCTCAAGAATTGGAAAACAAACACCACACGTACTCTTTAATAATTGGGAGTCAAGCAATGGGCACACATGAGCACAGAGACATATAAAAACCACTGGAGACCAAGAAGGGGGAGGATGGGAGAGGATACGGGGTAAAAACTGACTTTTCTGGGACAATGAGCACTAGTCTGGTGATGAGCACACTAAAAGCCCTGACTTAAGCTTTATGCAAGGTATCCATGTAACAAAAACATCTGTACCCCCTTAATATTTTGAAATTTAAGATCTATAGAAGAAAAATGTAAACATAAAAACAAATGAAAACTACAATAAGGGCAATAACAAAAAACTACAGCATTGGTATTTTTATAGTGTACAAATCACAGTATAGTCCATACTGATTTTGCAGCTGAAGCCCTAACCATAGCATTATAATAAATCCAGTCTTCCTAGAGAACAGCTTTTAGGAAGACGTCAAAATGGATCTCAAAGCCCTCCAGGTTTTTCCACAACTCTGAAAGTTTAATTCCATTTTTAATGAACTCACTATTGCCAAAATCTTGTGACAATAAAGGAAATCTGGCATTGTTCTTAATATCCCTTATCTAAATATTTACCAAACAAATCCAACATTTAAGGCCTTAGAATTCTACTTATTTATAAAGCTGCCATTTGCTTTTAAAATGGGCCCAAAAGAAATGTTGCCAAGTATAATCAGTGTTTGCATTGTCATGTCTATAAACTTCTGAAGTATTTGAAGATTTCCATCCTTTGTAAAGGATGTAGGTTTAATGCTGCCTAAAATGGGGGCTATCCCTTTATAATTTGTTCACTTTTTAGTTCTTTATTGATTTAACGAGGCCAGTGTGTCTGGAACCCATTTGTTGTTTGGAACATCCCTACCAGTTCTTGTTTTGATTATGAAGGCTGTCCCTGGGAAAGTTCCGGATGGTTTAACGTTCAGTCCCAGTACATACTAACTTCAGAAATAAACAAACTAATTCTTTGCTACTTTTAATATAGCTTTTAATAACTGGAATAACAATTATTATTTTCTCTTCATAGTATGACTTTTTACAAAATAAGTCATTAATGAGACTTAAGGTGTAATCTCAAATTAAAATTATAGCCAAGCAAACATCATCACCCATCGTCACCACACCACTGTGAATGCTGTTTCCTGCAATTAAATATTTCTCTCACTCACATCACTGTCACCTATCACTGGAGGACAAATGTTTTACTTTTCTTGGATTATTGCCCAGAGGGCAAGATTATTTTAAAACAACTCCTTTAAGTTTTCATTATCTTAAATTTTATTAAAATGATGAGGCATAAGAAGTAAATGATTATATAATTATAACATATAAATTTTTACCTTTATAGACTGAAATGAGTATTTTAATTATAAAGCTTTTCTCTCTTTCTCTGTCTCTCATGCTTTTATGATTTTTATTTACAGTTTACATCAGCCACCAATAAACGTTAACATTTATCTAGTCCATTTGTCTGTATTCCAGTCTACAAGGCTGGAATGAATTGAAATTACCCTCTTAGCAGATTCATAATTGATTGCTAATGTGATTCAACATGATTTAATCTATTTCCATCCTAAAGTCTTCCTAAATTAAAACTCTCTGACCTTTTGATACCCTTAAATTCAATTTAACAGGGTATATTTGTCATTTTCTCTATAAGAATGATCTAATTTTCTATCATCATGTTTTTTAAATACTATAATTTTTTTAAATACTATATTAGCAGGAAGCTTTTCAGATTACTTACATAGAGAAAGCTGCATTTTGTTTGATTGTTAGTTTTTGGGTCGTTTAGTTTTGCCAAATGCAGTCAAAAGCAAAGTTAGGGAATAAATACTTTGAACATCGGTCTGAAATTCTACCACCACATAAATTCCCAGGTAAATTCTTTGAGCAAAGTAGAAGTAGGGGCTCACTCTCTTCCACTGACCATCCCTGCATTAGTCATGGTGTATTTTCAGGGAGGAGGAAAGAGGCAGAGATAACTACTACTGCTTCTTAAAAACAAAAAGTGCAAATATAAGAAAAGAAGGCTTCTCCTACAACTATTCTGTGAATGGTAATTCTCTTCTAAAAGCATTTTTAGAGGGCTTGGCGCCTGTGGTTCAAGTGGCTAAGGCACCAGCCATATACACCTAAGGTGGCGGGTTTGAATCCAGCCCGGGCTGCCAAAACAATAATGACAGCTGCAACCAAAAAATAGCTGGGTATTGTAGTGGGTGCCTGTGGTCCCAGCTACTTGGGAGGCTGAGGCAGGAGACTCACTTGAGCCCAGGAATTGGAGCTTGCTGTGAGCTATGATGCCATGGCACTCTACCCAGGGGGATAGCTTGAGGCTCTGTCTCAAAATAAATAAATAAAAGCATTTAGAGTTTAAATGAGAGTTTTAGAAAGAAGTTGTTTAACTCCAAAATGGACATTGCTTCCTCTCAGAAGCTCAAATTATTTGCAAAACCATCTGGAAATGGTTGAAGTCAAAGAACTGTAGTAGCATATGCCACTGGACTCCTTAGCTGAGTGATAAAGGAACAGCTTGACTTCCGATATCCTAAAAGTAAAATGTTCCAAGAAAGAGGTTCAAATGGAAGAAAGGGAGACATCTCAGATTATAAATACGCTATGACTTAATGGTCCATTGCAGCGTGGAAAGGATTTCTTTCCACACAAGAGTACTGGGCTGGGGTCCACTTATTACAAAACACATGTTCCCTGGAGCTTTAAAAAAACAGCTTCTATTTCATTCCTTTCAAGAAAGTACATCCTCTAAAAGGATTACCTGACTTATCTGTAAGTTGAGATTGCTCTATAGCTGTTGGGTATGTTTATGTGATTTTCACCAAAACTTAGTCAATAAGACAGTGAAATGCTTTGTCGCTTTAGAGCAAACTCATATAGGAGAGACCCAGATACCCAAATAACTCCAGATAAAAGGGCATCCGTGTAGGTACCACCTGGGATTTTTAAAATTAAAAGCTGAGTTTAGGACGTATTTAGTTTTCATCATCTTTTGTAAACATTTTTGTTGTGCTTTAAAGAAAAGTTCATTTGGGAGCTCTTTAAATAATAATATGAACATGTTGCCAATTTCTGTTTTTAAAAATGTTGCCGTTGACATTTAGGAGGAAACATTGTGAAATATATCATGTATTAGACATCATAAAAGTGTCAGGGAATTCTTTGGCAGGTGTAACACCCTCTGATTTAAGTGTCTGGAATTATTTTTCTGTGTGCAGACCATCCGGTGGAATGAGTGAGGCTTTGATCTCTGAAACTGAAAACAAGAACCTCGAGCATCTCACCCATGAGGGGTATGTGGAAAGTACCACCCTGCAGATTCAACCAGCCACAAAGACCCAGTACAGAGAGTTGGTCATCACCCCAGTTAAGAGTGCAGTTCCCTTAGCTGAGGACCAAGGAAGTGGTCCTGGTTGTACAGAGAACTTAAAAGCAGAAACAAGCCTGTGCTTCCAAAGGGCTTCCCAAACGCCTGACTCCCAACCAGGACTCTTGGCAGAAGAAGTTATCTTAAGGGAGAAGGCAGAAGCGGGGCGGCCATCGCAAGTGATCGAACTACAACTGTCTCTTTCACAGGAGAGAGACAAGGACACTAGCGGCCCCACAGTAACTCTCTTGGGAGCTGAAAAATCTAAGTCTCCTGACCCAGAGCCTAATTTACAACAAGACAGAATTGTCCACATAAATTCGGTCCCTCCTCATGAGAAAGCAGACCCTTCTGTGAGGTCCAGTAAGATAATCCAGATCTCCAGCGGCAGAGAGTTGAGAGTGATCCAAGGCAGTGAATCAGGAGCCGCGAGGTTGCCCCGGGTGGAAGTGCTCCTGGACTGCTCTGACAGGCAGAAGACAGAAGGGTGCAGGCTTCAGGCAGGAAAGGGGTGTGTGGACTCTCCAGTGGAAGGAGGGCAGTCAGAAGCACCTCCTTCTCTGGTATCCTTTGCCGTCTCATCAGAAGGCACAGAGCAGGGAGAAGATCCACACTCAGAAAAGGATCACAGCAGACCTCACAAGCACCGAGCGCGGCACGCACGTAAGTCCTGCCCTGGGTCAGGTTCTGAGCCCTCAGAAGGGGCCTGGCAGTCGAGGGCATTTAACTGCTGCTTTGCTTGCATGAAATCTTTTCAAATCTTTCTCTTAGGTTTCTCATCAGCTTCTTAAAAAAATATATGGAATTAATGCACAAAATAACAAATGTGAAATGGTGGAGAGTATCAATAAGTTTGAACTTCATAGTTGATTTAAATGTTTTCCATGAATTTCTTTTTATCTCTAAAGGCACGGGAATTGTTAAAGAAAATAATAGTGTCCATGTTCCTTTTCCACTTGTTTGGGAAAGCAATAACAGTTCATGGTAAAGTAGTCTAAGAGAGCTTTTGAAGTTGTGTGGATTGTGAATTTAAATGTCAAAAACTGCCGAGTCTGCTGCTAAGAGGTGTCTTTAAAATACAAGCTCTGCTACTGATATTAAAAGCAGATCCTCATTTTGAAAAAAAAAAAATCATTGTGCAGCTTGATGATGCTTGCAGAAGTGAGTTTGACAGACAAGGACATGTGTCATACGGAGCAGTTACACGATCCCCTCCGTTTTGCAGGTCTTCACTCGACTGCAAAGTGTGCGTCTACCTTCTAGACACAGAAGTCAGTCTCCAGGGCCGTGTGGAGGCAATTAACTGTCCCCAAACCGAAAATATATTTAAAGTCAAGCCTTTTTGTGGTATTTTGTTTTACCCAGAGGAGTGAGGAAAGAAAGGAGAATAAGGATGAGAATTGAAGTTAGGTGTTAGGAGTTTTTGTGGTTTTCTTTCATTTTTTTTTAACTATAATTTCATTTGAGGATGTAAAGGCTGACAGGCAAAGGCCCTCGAGTGTGTGAATGCTACATAGGAGCAGTGCATTCAGATAGTCAACGTGGTATATGAATAAACTGTATGAATAACCTATTGTTATTCCTTTCAAGCATATTTTTAGCATAACCATTTGTAGCTGTATTGGCAAGTGCTGTTAATCGTTCCTTATACTTTAAGCATCTGTAGGCCATCTTCACATTTATAGCATATTAAACAAGAGTATTAAGACACCATTCACATACTTTACATATTGGCAGTGAAGTTAGCAACAACTGTGCAACTGTGACTGTCAATTTTAAAAGTTGTATAACACTAGGAAAAAGAAATTACACTTGGGAATCACCACATTTTTAAGTATCTGTACAAAATTTGATCATCGGTAAATACCTGTAACTTTGATAGATAAGAACATGTATAATATGTCTTTATTAATTATAAAATCATTTCCTCTGATTATATTCTATTTGTCAAAAGTTAATCATTACTTGAATGTTTTTACAGTGACCAAAAAGTTCATTTTAAAATCAAAATATTAAAAAAAATTTTCTGTATTTTTCCTTTATTTTGAGGAATTAAAACATTTGGTAAATCATACTCATTATCCTTGAAAGTGTGATTATACTTAACTATAAATTATAAATTATGGATGCCATAAATTAATTTGCCACCAATTTATTCTTGATAAAATAAGAATTTAAAGTTAGATGGAAATTTTTACTTTATAACTGTCATCCTCTTGTTTTAAATGACTTAATTTCTGCATCAGTTTTTGCATACAGTTACTAGTCATAAGTCATATAATTTTTAAATTCCTTCGAGATTTACACTTGTTCTTACTGTAATTAAAGTTTCCAAAACACCAGTACACTTACAAACAAATTTGCCTAGAAACTTTGTAGCTGGAGTTTTGAATGTTCATTCACAATGATGCATTACTAACATATTGAATTATAACTAATTGTTGATTCAGAACTTTCAATGATTAGTTCAGTGTTTTGAATTTATGTTAATTCAGTAGCTGTGGATGGGAAGATTTAAGGCAGTTGTCAGGGTAAAAGAACGAAAAAAAAGAAAGAAAAAGAAGAAAACCTAAATAGCTTATTATGTTACATTAAAACATCTAGAAAATGTTTAAATATTTTCTTGGGAGTTACTCCTCCCTTTTTAAGATAATCGGAAATGGTTTTGTGTTGACATTTTATTTTTTAAATATGGAAGTACAAGGTTACCTTATCTTGTTTTTTAGGAGATATTATGTTCTTAAATTATGTCCTTTTAAATTTTAATTATATCCTATGAACTGGTATTTACCAGCCAGTTTTTATTGTTAAAGTTTCATAGAGAAACAAATGTACGAAACATGCATTCTAAGCAGCGTTCATAAAAATATTTTTATAAAAACCAATGGAACAGGGCATGGTGTAGTCTTATATATATATGGTATATTATTATAGAAGTACAAATTTCAAAAGAAATAAGATTGGTAAATCAATTGAATTCCTTCAAAACTCAGTACCCAATTATGAGATTTTTGTTTTTCACACTTTGATTTTCCTCCAGAAGGAATTTAGAGAAGGCAGTGTCTGAGTTGCTGTGGTGTCTTCCTTGACCTTTCGGGCTCAGTGTAATTGTTTTACTTTCCCCAGGGCTCAGGAGGAGCGAAAGCTTGTCAGAAAAGCAAGTGAAGGAAGCCAAGTCTAAATGCAAGAGCATCGCCCTTCTCCTGACAGACGCCCCCAACCCCAACTCCAAGGGGGTGTTGATGTTTAAGAAGCGCCGGCGGAGGGCCCGCAAGTACACCCTGGTCAGCTACGGCACCGGCGAGCTCGAGCGCGAGGCCGAGGACCAGGAGGAAGGGGACGGCGAGGACCCCTGCGAGGGAGCGTTTCTGGGCACCAGCGAGTCGGAGGTGGACGAAGAGCTCTTGTCCGACGCCGGCGACAGCACCCAAGTTGTGAACTTCGACTGGGATTCCGGACTGGTGGACATTGAAAAGAAACTGAACCGAGGGGACAAGATGGAGATGTTACCGGACACCACCGGCAAGGGAGCCCTCATGTTTGCCAAGAGGAGGGAGAGGATGGATCAGATCACGGCCCAGAAGGAAGAGGACCGGCTGGGTGCCGTGCCCAGCCGAGAGCCGGACGCCGCCCAGATGGACGGCCTGAGAACCACGACTTCCTACCAGAGGAAGGAGGAGGAATCGGTGCGCACGCAGAGCTGCGTGAGCAGGAGCTACATCGAGGTGAGCCGCGGGCCTGGCCACGTGCCCCAGCAGAACGGCTTCAGTGGGGCGCCCGAGGTGGCCACCGTGCAGAGGATGCCCCCGACCAACAGGACGGCCAGACCCTTCCCGGGGTCCGTGCACCAGCCAGCGGCCCCCTTCTCCCCAGCCCGCACCCCGGCGAGCCCGGTGGCCGACTTCCCTGCGCCCCCGCCGTACTCTGCGGTCACCCCTCCACCCGAAGGCTTCTCCCGAGGGCTGTCAAGCCCCGTCGCTGGGCCGGCACAGCCCCCTCCATGGCCCCAGCCCGCCCCCTGGTCCCAGCCAGCCTTCTACGACTCGTCTGAGCGAATAGCTTCCCGGGATGAGAGGATCTCGGTGCCTGCAAAAAGAACAGGGATACTGCAGGAGGCCAAACGGAGAAGCACCACGAAACCCATGTTTACTTTTAAAGAGCCCAAAGTGAGCCCGAACCCTGAACTCTTGTCACTCCTTCAAAATTCAGAGGGCAAACGGGGCACTGGGGCTGGAGGTGATTCCGGACCGGAAGAGGACTACCTCAGCCTGGGAGCCGAGGCTTGCAATTTCATGCAAAGCTCCTCTGCTAAACAAAAGACCCCTCCTCCTGTTGCTCCAAAACCAGCGGTCAAGTCCTCATCCTCCCAGCCAGTAACTCCAGTTTCCCCAGTCTGGTCTCCAGGAGTGGCTCCAAGCCAGCCTCCTACTTTCCCGGTGTCAAACCCATCGCAGGGCACTGTCGTCTCCTCCATCAAAATAGCCCAGCCTTCCTACGCTCCTGCCCGGCCCGCCAGTGCTTTGAACCTGTCCGGTCCCTTCAAAGGACCACAAGCAGCAGTAGCCAGTCCGAATTACACACCTAAGCCAACAGCTCCTACCCTGACAGTCAACCCTGCTCATGCTGGTGCAGTGGGACCATCCAATGAGCTTCCAGGAATGAGTGGGAAAGGAGCCCAGCTCTTCGCCAAAAGGCAGTCGAGAATGGAGAAGTACGTGGTGGATTCGGACACAGTGCAGGCCCACGCTGCTCGAGCCCAGTCTCCCACTCCGTCTCTACCCGCCAGTTGGAAGTACTCCTCCAATGTCAGAGCACCTCCCCCTGTGGCCTACAATCCCATCTACTCCCCTTCCTACCCACCAGCTGCTCTCAAGTCTCATTCACCAGCCGCACAGGCCTCCAAACTGGGCAAGAAAAAGGGCAAGAAACCCCTCAATGCTCTGGATGTCATGAAGCACCAACCCTATCAGCTCAATGCATCCTTGTTTACTTTCCAACCTCCAGATGCAAAGGATGGCCTCCCCCAAAAGTCAACAGTCAAGGTCAATTCAGCCCTGGCCATGAAGCAAGCTCTTCCTCCACGACCAGTGAACGCTGTCTCTCCTCCAAACGTGCAGGCTTCCTCGGTGTACTCAGTACCAGCCTATACCTCTCCACCTTCCTTCTTTGCAGAGGCCACCTCACCAGTCAGCGCGTCACCAGTGCCTGCCGGCGTTCCCACCTCTCCGAAGCCGGAATCAGCCTCCTCATCTTATTTTGTGGCACCACGGCCAAAGTTCTCAGCCAAGAAAAGTGGTGTCACTGTTCAGGTGTGGAAACCATCTATTGTGGAAGAGTAATCTTGTAGCTGAAGCTGAGTGTCCACTTTGCTTGAAATGAATTGTTTGCAGTGTTAACCTGAGTTCCTAACAATGCCTAGCAAGTCCTCAACTTACTTAATATCAGATATGTCACCTCCCAATCTGGGTCCAAGGAGCATAATATTTTTTAATGAGTCAAAAATCCAACTCAGATTGACTTAAAATCTATCTTCTTTGCGCACTTAAAAAAAATCCAGGAGCACTCTAAAATAGTCATGTGCTATTTTATTAAGTAAGCAGGATACTTAGGATTTATGCTTTAGTCACAAGAAAGACAGTGATCAGTGTTACCAAACATCAGGAGATAGCCTTGATGTAACATAACAGCCGTGCTCCTTTGGTGAAAAGATTCAAATGTAGTGATAATATAACCTGTACTGAGATTTCCCTTTTAAGTAGAGCTTTCTTACTATTACTAATATTAAGGGAATAAGAAATCTATTGAGGACAGGGATCAGCTCTGGTCTGTCAACTCAGCCACCTGTTTGATGTCACGGAGAAGCCACTCTGAGGATTGTTGGAATGTACATAGTTGAGTGAGAAGTGGGTAAGAAGGAGGGTCTTAATGATTACTATGTATTAGGTTCTTTGCCAGATGTTTTGACATCTATTGACTCATTTCAGAAGACACGTGTACAGTAAATGGGATTGGGAAGGAGGGATGATTACCCTTAGAGATTGATTCCTATCCCCCCTCCTCAGTAACCTAAATGAAGTGAGCACATCTCCAATTTCCTGTAAAAGTGTAAGTTCGTTTTTTGCAGCTGAGGCAGGCGGTGGGATACAGTGTAACGAAGTAACGTGTGAAAGTAAGATGCACACAAAAGTACCCGTGGCTATTGCTTGATCTCGGGAAACCACATGATTAGGACCTGAAGGGTTAGTGACTACAGGGGCCGATTGTGAAGCACGAGGAACCCCATGTGTGTGGTGACTGTAGGGGAGAACATACAATGATTGGCATCCTTCTGAGTAATCTCATGGATTTTTTTCTTGTGTTTGTTTTGCTTTTTGACAACCGCTTCTCCCACTGCTCCTTGTAATTCTATTCTTGCACCTTCACTTTATTATTTATGTTTGATGGACCAGGATAATCCAGGCAAGGTTACCTTGTACATTTGAATTGGTCACACACCATATCGTCATCCAGCTGGCTATGAAGTGAATAATGGTACTGAAAGTAAACCTGAAGACCTTTCTCAGATCTATTTTAAGTCTGAGTCTGACCAACCATGGAAAATATTCGAATGAATTCATGTAGAGAACTATAAAGCATTTTTGACAGCTCCAAGGAAAGCCATCTACTTTATGCAGGAGATATGTCTAAAGACCTCTTAGAAAAACCTGCCTGGTTTGAGGATACATGGTACCATTTTAATTCTTGGAAAATATCTGTATTCCTGTTCTTTTTCTGCTGTCACTGTCAATCTGCTATATTTTTCACTATCCTATTAAAATATTACTTTCTTCTTTATCTGTTCAATGTCCATATTTAAAAAAAAAATCTTCCTTCTACTATGTGTGAGCTATTCTGGTCTAAGTCATTTCTCTCCTATGGTTCCTATAACAATTTCCGTTTTAAGCACATTTAATTCTCCATACATCATAGAAGTGCAAGCCTGTAGTATTTCTAAAACATAACACACAAAGAAGAGAATTAAGTCAGCTATGGAACAATGGGGCCAGTTCTTCTACTTTTTCTCTGAGAAAAATCTACCATTGCTTTTGGTGGCAATTTACCTAGAGGTTAACAACCACAGGATATACCTTGGCCTCACGGTTGCCTTTTTGGGAAGTCAATTAGGAAGACTAATACAGGCTAAAGGAAAAAACAATCTATCCATTATGTAACACAGTTTTTTGTATTACTTGTTCCCTGCAAAGGAAATCTGTTGAATGCTGTGCATTTTGCATTCTTTTCTAATAGAACAACGGAAAAAGGCTTCTTAAGGTGAAGCAGGAAAGGAGATCATTTTTATAGCTTTGCATTCTTAACATAGCATTTAAAGAACAGCATGAATTAGAGGAAAAACATGGAACACAGGTAGTCAACTTGAGATCATCAGTTCAAATGTATCCTAGATTGGTAATGACCCACAAGTTATTTCCAGTTGTCCAGAGGTTTGTGGTATGCAGGAATGAGAAGTGTTTTCAGTTCATTTCTTGCTGGACAGGTGGCAATCTTAGCAGAGCCACTATTTCGAGTCTATGACTAAAGCACAACTAACATGACTGTGTCTTTTAGTCATCCTAAGACTCTCTGGGGTTCCTCAAAACCATCTACCAGGCATGTCGGTATGCAGTCAAAGCGTGTACAATTTCAACTGCGAACTGGTAGTCAGTCTTGGATCATACAGTCTGAATTTATAGAAGAAGGGTGGAAATTCTCCAAAATGATATCCATAACAGAAAGTCTTACCTCCCTCTGAGGGATACAGAAAGTGAGATGAGGACCAACCAGCTCCCGGAGTAAGAGGGATTTCCTTTCCCTATTCTCCCTCCTCCAGGGGCTGGGGCTATGGAAGTGATGTCAGTGTGGCAGGGGGGAGGGTTAGAACTCAGCTGCCCTCCTGCTAGGCACCCTTTGCAATCCGAGCGCTGTTGGTTTAGTTGTGGTTGTTTGATTGGTCGATTGTTAGTCATGAGGTTTGGGAGGCATTTTTATTTTTAGTTTTTAGCACCTTGCCTCTTCCCTTATCCTCGGTTAGCTTGATTTCTAGGCAGAGTGCCCATGAAATCAGTTTTCATTTTCAGCTCAATAGCAATAATCATCTACTGAGTGCCCCTGTTAAGCTAGGGGCCTTTGGTATGTCATCCCGAGGCATCCACTGCATGGTTTGTAGAGGTGCTGGAATGTGCGTAGACACTGAAGGTAATCACACCCCCTGACTTCCTGCAGGACTTTAAACAAATTTCTCTTTCCACAAGTGTCCCCTTAATGATGTGTCAAACCATGCTTCCTGACCAGAATGTTAGGCCATAGTGAGTCTGCACAGCTCATGAGATTTTAGGGGGAAGAAAGATACTGTTAAATATAAGGACGACATATCCCCCTCAGACTTACTGGAGGGCAGATTGAATCACAGAACTGGGAAGACTGGTAATCTGAGCATTGCCACTTCCATCTTGGAACATTTACAATTGTATTTCTAACACTTTATTAATAGACACAACTTGTTTTAAGAGAGGAAAACCACACTTTCTGGATTGATCATGGAAAGATACATTTTTAGGAATAGGTTTCATAAGACACCTTTAGGTTATCTTTCTAGAGAGCCATAGAAAACTTGGTACTTTAAGGTCTATCTAGTATAATTGTGAGTGATAACGTGTATTGAGCCTTTGCTTCCATAGTCTCATTTATTCTTCACAAGAAGCAACTTATTTTAAGCATAGGAAAATCAATCAGAGTAACAAATAGTTCTTTCAAATAAGGCGGGTTTTAACTATTTTTGAGGTAGTCGTTGTAGGACAGCTAAGTAGTAGCACACAGCCTAAATTCTAGCCTGGCAGCAAGAGTCATATCTGAGATGTCCAGAAAGAAAAAGGAAAAACAGGTCTACATTTAAAGTCGGGGAGGGGTCAAGTCACATACATAGGACCATTTTCTTACTTGCAGTTACTAGATTAAAGAACTTTGAAGGTCATTTTGCCCCTAACAGGTGTGTGGAACACTCTGTGTGGCTCTTTCAGAGTTAAAGCCACATGAGAGCAGAAGGTACATTCCTGCCCGTGTCTGAGGGTAGAATGCTCTTCAAACAAAAGTCCTTTTCTGTGTATCATTTCATTCAGTTATAAACTAGGGAATCTGCAAGCACCCAAACCCTAAGAGTGAATTCCTGAAATCAGTTTTATGAGTCACCATTGGCTAGCGGAAAGGGCATTTGAAGCCTCACTCATCAAAAAGAAGTGATTGTTTTCTGAAAAGTTCAATGCTCAGAACACTTCCAGAGGGAAGTGGTGGGTTGTGCGCTTGTTCCTGCCTAAAATCAGGGTGGTTGAGTTTGTTTTAAAAGTTTTTTGAAGTTCATGAGAAAAATACGCAAATTCTAAGAACCAATATCATATTCCCATAAACAGTGACCCTTGCTGGTCTTATGTCCCCATATCATTGGACTCTGGGGGACACGAAGACTCGTGTGAGACTTTAGTGCTGCTGAGTTAGTCAACAAGTATTCTGGGAAAAATCAGAAATGAATTCTTTTCTAGACATCCCATTAGGGTTGGCCAAGGGCCATGAGGCTAATAAAGGCTATTACATTCTCACAGGACCCAAACACCAGGCAAAGTGGCTCTAAGAGGCCAGTCTCTGTTTATCCCTCTATGGTTCTAAAAAGCAGGAGTATAACAACTGCAGCCCATCCTACGAGCATCAGGCCAAGAAAAGCCCATTTCCTGGAAGAGCCCTCAAATCAGAACTAGCCGTTCCTTGATGTTAGCAGGTGCAGCCAGTTTCTTAATTAAAAGAAAAACCAAAACCTCACATTTCTAAGGTATGTATTTTTATACCCTCAACCATTACCTGGCTCTGGGAAATCACAGCACTACTCAAAGGCAAGTAAATGAAGAGAGACTTAACTAGAAAATATCAAAACCCGTCAGACATTCTCAGACCTGAATAGTAGTGAGTTTTTCAAAGATGTACCTGCTAATAAAGTATATCTCAAGTGTACAGGAAAGAAAGTTAGACTTTCGAAGTGTCCTATCATTTAAGTCATTTTTTGTTCTTGATGAATATAATTTTTTAAATTTTCATTTTTTGGTTCTAAATGGAAAGCTCTTCATGTTTATCTCCATTTAGCTCATTCATCATGTGTTTATCTGAATTCCATGTGTTTTGAGACTGTTGAAATATAATTTCAGGTCCCTCATCAAAACTATCACAAGGCCCTGCTTTCCAGTCTATGCTCCTTTCTCTACTTGATCATGATAATACTCAAAATCATAAC